AAAAAAAAAAAAAAAAAAAAAAACACGAGTTTCGAAGTATCATGGCTGTGTATCTTTCCATGTTCTAGCCCAAGATTCACTCTTGTTTGGCACATTTGGAGAACACTGGAGCGAGGCCCATAGCGGGGCCATTACCCAGCTTAGGCTCCTGGGCCGAGGTCCCACTAGCAACAAAGGATAGGATCGAGCTCCTGAATCTGGATGTCTTTTAACAACAGATGCAGAAAAGCAGTTCAATCTCGATTTCCTGCACATCTCCATAAACTCTTCCAGATTCGGGCATTCGATCCGATCCTCTTTGCTTGTGGGACCACGCCCCTGGACCGGAAACCGGCGCCCGCAATTTGACACAATTCGGGTGACAGGTTCGGCATGCCGAATCTACATGGCTGCCCCTGCCCAGTAGTGCTTGTCCTCTTCCGGAGATAGGTCACCCACTACCAAAGAGGGTTGGATCAAGCGCATCTGGGTGGATTTTAAGCAGAGATGCAGAACACTCTCCACAACCACGCCCAGATTCGAGCTTTAAATCGAACCCTCTTTGCTAATGGGACCTTTCCCCTGCTTCGGTATGTGAGGTGCGGGCAAAAATGAGGTTCGCACTGGGCCGTTAAACTTTTGTGATCGTTTTCGTAGGAATCTATGTCCATGCAACGAAACGTCGAAGTAGCACTTTTTCCAATGAAGCTTCCCGTAAGGACCTACCTGTAAGCACCCGCCATCCGCCCAGATTTTGAATGCATATGGACGTCGAAGACGTCCAGATGCATTCAAGATCTTGGCGGTGAGGCCAAACTCAATCCGAAGAGTCGGGGTGAGTGTGTCAGCATGCCCTGCGAGTGCGAGTGCGACTCCGATAGCACATACAACAGTGTGCCCCGCCGGTAGAAAAATCCTGTACTTCAAAAAAAATAAAAAATCCTGGACTTCCGACATTCCGAGAAAGAAAAGAAGTAAGAACCAAAAAATCTCGTACATTTCCAAAAAAAAAAAAAAAAAAAAAGATCTCGTAATCATGAAGTACGCTCTTGCGGGGGTGCGTGGCCTCTGCTAACGCCATTAGGGCATGTGCAGGACTTCGAATGCATTTGACCCCAATTGCAGTCATTTCCGGAGAGGAAAATCCTACACGTAGTGCCCATGTGGCCGCAAACAGAACATCCTTCCAGCTCAACTTTCGGTGTGCGTGGGTGCGTGGCTGCGTGGGTGCGCGTGGGTGCATGTGGGCGTGCGCGTGTGGGTGCGTGCCTGTGCGTGAGCGCTGCGTGGGTACGTGTGTGCGTGCGTGGGTGGTTGGGTGGGTGGGTAGGTGCCTGCTGAGTAGGGCCCGGAACTTCCGAAGTGAACACCTTTTTCTTCAGTAAAATTTGTGTAGTGCCCCTGCAAGAGGTAGAATTTCCCCTTTGTACCGGCACTAGTTCGTTCGTGTGCGGTGTGCCCCTCTTGACGGCATTCAACTGCACGAAAAAAACACCATGTCGTTTGGGCCTCTCAACTTATCTACCTTCTTCCCCCGAACATAACGCATATGCGTTGTATGCGTTGTAAACGAATTAACGAAGACAACACATAGGTTGTTTTTTATTGGGGCTGTATTGGAGGGCAGTGGAGCAACGTTTTGGACAGCAAGGGGGCCGGTCCAGGCTGAGTAGGCTCAGTTCTTGTCCGTGGGGGAGGCCATTACACAGACAAAAAATGTGGTGTTGCATCTTTCAATGTCGTGGCCGATGATTCATCCCCCTTTTGCCATTTGAGGCCTCCCTCCAGTCCTCACCAAATGTGCGAAATGAGGATGAATCTTCAGCTAAAACATGGAAAAATACAACGCCCTGGCCTAGTCAGGCGCTTTCCCGCTACCCCCCGCAGCCACTTTCTTGGCCACTGTTTGTCAGACAGCAGGAGACAACGGAAAAGAGCACAGGGGCCTCCCTGCACAAAAGACAAAAACCATGGCGGTGTATCTTTCCATGTTCCAGTGAAAGATTCACTCTCGTTGCGCACATGTTGAGAGTAGTGGAGCGAGGTCCCAGGTCACGCACAGACACAGAGCGCGCGTGCGCGCGCGCGCGAGAGAGAGAGAGAGAGAGAGA